ACTAACCCGTTTACTATTCACAGTTAATCTTAATCATCCGGGTTTAGTGTGTTTTCACGTACGCATGTGACTCAAACTTCTCAAGCTTAAATATTGAATCATTCTAAGCAAGTTTGACGTGTTGCATGTAACGTTCGTTACACGGTCGACGTGACACGATATTTATTTACAATCTTGAATATTATTGTTACATATTGAGTGAATCATCTCCTTTATATATTCAAGATATCTCTGTCACTTTACATATCATCTATACCCATCTTACATGCACATTTAAATTATTGGTTGGGCATAACTCTTTACATATTATTATTCCGCTGTGCAGTTCAAACTTACTCTATTTACTTGTTACTTAGAGTTAAAGTTACCAAAGAGTTATGTATTTTGAAAAAGCTTAAAAGTCTATTCACCCCCCCCCCCCTCTAGACTTTTACCACCATATCAGGACCAACATATCTTCAGTACAAAAATAATGTACTTTTAATATATTAAAAATATACCTGATATTCATGGTCCACACCAAGGTTATCGAGGCGGACTTTCTAGGCGAGATGCCACCGACTGCCTAGTCGACTAGTCAACTAGGCGACCGCCTAGGCGATGAGAATTAAATAAATAAAAAGTACATATACATTGAAAATATCTTGTCTTGGGCAACCTTTTTGCTGGCCTATTTACTTCAAGTAGATGAATAGTTTTTCCTAGAATAGTGAGAAGTCTAGTATTTATTGTATATTGAAAATATCTTGTCTTGGGCAGGCTTTTCACAACCCTATTTACTTCAAGTTGTTTGAGAAGATGAATAGTTTTTCCTAGGGTGGTGAGAAATCTAGTATTTATAGATAACATGTCAGAGTGAGGTAGTGGGCTTTGCTCGGAACAGGAGGACGACGCCGGACCTTGAACCGCGCCGCCACTGCGCCGCTGCTCCGACACCACGCGCCGACGCGTGAGGCAAATTCCGACGACTTCTCTGGCTGAAAATTACACCGATCAACTCACCTTAGTGTGTAGGTTCTGTCCATGTATGTTTTGTGGAGTTTTGGATTGTATTATGCACTTAGGCGAAGCGAGCACATTAGGCGTTCGGTCTTGACTAACCGAACGCCTTGATAACACTGGTCCACACAATAATTTACCCATCACATGGGTATTATAAATATTATTATTGAATTAGCTTAACTTGGTCAAGGCATGAACAAAAGAAGCCCAGATCTTGATGGACTATTTCAAAAGGCCCATGAGAAATGACCCTCCATAATGGGCTTGAGGCCCATTATAAAATCTTTTCCTCAATGAATTTTGTATGTAATCTTGAAATTCAAGTCTAGTTAAGTACTTATATATTAAGCGCGCATTTGGTTTAAACATTAGAATTGAAATGATGATGGAAATCAAATATTTTAATTTTAATGAATTTAAATAGAATGGTCTCTGGTTTTCAAAAAAACAAAAAAAAAAAAAGAATGGTATCTTTGTTTGGTAGTATGGTAAGAATTGGAATCAAAATATTTAATATATGTGTGTAATACGGTTCAAATGCAGATGGTGTGTTCAGGTGTGAACGTGGGGTGAGATGAGAGCCATTGGTCTTGTTAAGATCAATGTTCAGGATTAATAAGAATTATAAAAAAAAATGCGATGGCAATTTGGTCTTTTTGTATCTAGATCAAATTTAAGGTGTCTGGTTTTCATTCTTAAGGTGTGTGGTTTTTGTGTTGTGTGCTTAAGGTGCGTCAATTGTTGAAACTTAACTGCGTCGATCTAAGGCTTTAGGTGCGTGATTTTCCTTGTTAAGGTGCGTGTTTGTGCGCTTAAGGTGCGTCAGTTGTTGAAACTTAAGGTGCGGCGACCTAAAGCGTTAGATGTGTGGTTTTCCTTCTTAAGGTGCGTTGTTTTCCTTCTTAAGGTGCACCATTTTTACAGAATTTTTTTCACTCAACAGTACAATGGTGTTTTCTCAATTTTGGTTCCCAAGTTCAAAATGATTTGATACAGATTTTGTTGTTTTCAATTATCTAATTCAAAAAAAAAAAAAAAAAAAAAAGAAGAAAATATGATAACAATATAATAACAAATAGTGGAGTTGTTATCTTTGGAGTAAACTTGCAGAAGATTGATGCATTAATTGAAGACGCACGTTTTTTTAAAAATTTTTAATTTTCATTGATCAACGGCTCATATCTTACCCAATCTTTCACCTGGGAGCATCTTCGCACCAGAACTAATCCATATATATATATATATATATATATATATATATATATATATATATATATATATATATACATGTATGTATGAGTTATGGTGCGGTTGTAAGGTTAACAGAAAATATATATATATATATATATATATATATATATATATATATATATATATATATATATATATATATATATGTATGTATGAGTTATGGTGCGGTTGTAAGGTTAACAGAAAATGACGCACCTTAAGCATTAAAATGGAGCACCTTAAGTACACAAACCACGCACCTTAAGCACACAAACAAAGCACCGTAAGAACATAAACCACACACCTTAAGCATTAAAATTGTGCACCTTAAGTACACAAACCATGCACCATAAGCACACAAACAAAGCACCATAAGAACACAAACCACGCACCACCAACTTACGCACCTTAAGCATACAAATCACGAACCTTAAGAACTAAAATAACGCACCTTAAGAAGGAAAACCACGCATCTAAAGCTTTAGGCCGACGCACCTTAAGTTTCAACAACTGGCGCACCTTAAGCACACAAACCACGCACCTTAAAAAGGAAAACCACGCACCTTAAGAAGAAAAATCATGCACCTTAAATTTGACCTAGATGCAAAATGACCAAATTGCAACCGCATTTTTTTTAATCGTTGTTAATCCTGGACGTTGATTTAGACAAGATCAATGGCTCATATTTAACCGCACAACCGCACGGGAACTGAATTTTATATATATATATATATATATATATATATATATATATATATATATATATAGTATTTATGGAGATTGACCAAATCAATGACCTCCATGGCCTGCAGTTTGTTAAGCAGCCACAAAGTAATTCACAAATCATAGTCTAAAAACTTCTTTTATAAGTTTTTTAGCACAATTATTTATGTTCCGAGTGAAGAGTTTCGGTCTTTAAGACCATCTCCAAAGAAGGTATCAAAACATTATTTTGATGTAAAAATTTGGTGCAACCTTTTTCAAAGGAAGACATCAAATTCTACACTAAAATAGTGTAAATGAATAGTATTACATTAAATTCTACACCATTTTAGTGTATAACTTTTTAAAATCTTGTTGCCAATTGTTGACTTTTAAAAATGTATATTATTAAAAATAAATTATAAAGATTTAAAGATCTCATTGGAACGTTTAAAATGAGATCAATATTTACTATAAAATAATTAAAAATTAAAATACATAAAAACATAAATTTTATTTTAAAATATTATTATTTATATCAAAATTATATTTGATATTAAAATAATTAAAGTAAACAAAATAAAAGTTTTAAATTATAAGAATACAAATTATTTTAGTGTATGAATAGAATTTGGTGTAAATAGATTGTAGATGAAATAAAATTTGGTGTAGATAGGTTGGAGATGGCCTAAGAAGCAAAGGACTTAGTTCTGACTCCGATAGACATTTAAAAACTCCTTTCAAATAAGATTTAACTATATATATATATATATATATATATATATATATATATATATATATATATATATATAATCGCACTAAGGTGCGAATGCTTCGCCGAGGCGCGAAATAGGAATGAATTTTGTTCGTCCACGTGTCCAGATCTAATGGATGAGAAACACTGATTTTTTTAAAAAACGCGGTGGCATTTTCGTAAATAATTGAACATCAAAGTGCAAGTAAAATGTATTACAAGTGCATGTAAAATGTATTATAGGTGCAAGTAAAAATTTACTCTGAGCATCAATACTTAGTTGCACCTATAGTTCTAAGTAGTTGCACATATAGTTATAAGTAGTTGCACTTAGGTGTATGAATGTTTGCGAGTGCTTTTCAGGGGTATTACTACCCGCTGAACTCAGATCAATGAATGTTAACAAGGCAAAATTACATGCACTTATAGGTGAAAGTATGTGCACCTATAGTTATAAGTAGTTGCATCTATAGTTATAAATAGTTGCACATATAGTTATAAGCACACCCAGGTGCATGAATGTTTGCGAAAAGTGAATGCTAACAAGACAAAATTACATGCACTTATAGGTGAAAGTAGGTGCACTTGTAAGTGATTTTACTTGCACTTCGATGTTCAATTATTTACGAAAATGTCACCGCGTTATTTTTTTAAGTTATTAGATCTGGACACGTGTCGCGCACTGATTCGTTCGCATTTCCCTCATGAGCATCTGCATCCCTATATATATATATATATATATATATATATATATATATATATATATATATATTATCAGTAGGAGGGTGAAATTCGATTCTTACAAAGATGTCATGCGTGTTGAGGACCGAAACAATCATCCAACAAGGTTTCCGTAATGCCTGAAGGAGGTGTCTAATTCTAGTCTCTAAACAATAGTTTAACTCTGAATTAATCGAAACTCAATATGACCATGCGATATAAGTGGGTTATGGTATGAATAAGAAAGCAAACTTTAGAAGCCATTCCAAGATGATGATGCCAAATCAACAAGAGAGGGAAAGCACCAAACTGTTGTAGGAAAGACACTGCACAATCATGGGATCAAAGCCACATTCTATATGCCTTCCAATACTGTCAACTACACTGCAAACACCTTGTATATTGTGGGCAGTCAAAAAAGGAAAATACTACATGTACTCTCATTTTCTACTCCCACACACAAAATCTATCTTGATGTAGACACTTGTATTGAGACCCACCTGAAAAAGGTAGTTTACATCAGGGAGTAAAATTCACGGAGTCTATGTAGTAGAACTCGTCAAAAAAAACATCAAAACCAAAAGGGTGCAAATTTATAAGAAGCTTTTAGTTCATTCACTAGGCAATACCAATAATGTCTGTGTTGCTCTCACCCTACAAGACTCAATCACAAGTAATTCAAGCCTCAAAAGAATGACAGAAAACTTTCATTTACTACTACAAATCACAATCACAATCACAATGCTAATAAACACCCCAAAATTAAAGCTATCTCATCATCCATGGGTGTTAACAGCTTCCCACACTAAATTCTTGGGCACTGGCTTGGATAAATCCCGGGCTTGCAGTGCAGCAGCGCGAAGCGTTCTGATAGTCATCTCGTTTGCCTCCCAGAACGAGGCGCAGTTATAGGGCAAACCGTGCTTTTTACAAAGCTCCTTCACAAAGGGAGAGATTTTTCTGAGATGACATCTTGGCAACCTGGGAAACAAATGGTGTTCCACCTGAAATTGCAGCCCTCCATGGAACCAATCCATCCAAGAAGAGCATGATATATCAAGACTCCCACCAGTCTGCTTCTCGAACCAATCGCTGCTAGTAGGCGGTCCCACATAAACACTGGTCGAGAAATGGTTGAGACAGAACTGAACATGCTGGATCCCAGTAACCACAAAACTAGCAATTACAAACATAGCTCTCTCCCCCCAATTGGGCAAGCAAGAAACAAGCAATGGATACCAGACCCAATATGCAAGAAGCCCCAAAAGCTCCAGCCCCCTATTGGCCACTTTTCTCTTGGAAAACAACAGTGCAAATGACTGTGCATACAGATTAATCCTAGCAAAACACATGACAGGATAAAATGTCCAATGCTGATAGCTAACCAAGAACCTAGCAAATGTGTCAAAGTTCAGCTTTCTTTCATAGAAATGTGAAGTGAGTGAGTTAAAGAGGTTGGAAGATACCACAAAGAAAGGGAGGTGCTGCAGATCAGGATCAAAGTCAAGGCTGTTGCAGGCAATGTGATGGGCATTGTGGTTCCACTTCCACCACGCAATGCTTATCCCTGTAAGACAATTCCCAGTAAGGATCTGAGCAAATCTATTATACCCTTTACTCATCATAATCTGATAGTGCCCAGAATCATGCCCTAACCACCCACTCTGAATCCACAGAAACCCCATCAGCCCACCACTAACCAAATGCACCCACACACTCTCACTGCACAAAACCCCATAAACACTCACAGCAAACAGGACTACCATTAAGCACATGGAGAAGAAAACCCCATGCCCTTTCTTCTCAAACAGCCCCATCTTGGAGAACTCAGACACCAGCCTCCTGTAATCCTTGGACACCTCGGATACTGTGTAGTCCCTGAGGTAAAAGCCATTGAAGAATCTGTCAAGGTGGTGCCAGACAGCCCCTGGGTGGAATGCCACAAAAGCATCGGTCACATCTTGGCCTGCAAGGCTCCTCAGAGGCAGCTCCCCACCTGGGTGGACTTTCACCCACTCTGAAACATCATACACTTTCCCCTGAATAGACACCCACAGATCCCCTGCTTTGTTGTGCTTCTTCAGCTCCTCTGCAGTAATGTACTTCTTGGGTTCCGCCATTGATTCCCAAACCCTGCTGCTTCTGGAATTCAAGAACGAGATCTGATGAGAAGACTCCTTTCTTTCAAGCAGGAATCAAGAATCCTAGATTTCGACCATTGGAAAAGAAGATATTTTGAAGCTATGGGAGGTCCTGAATTCCTGATCTAGTTTAGTTGTAGGCTGTTCAGAGGTGATGATATACAAGAGAAAGCGCCACAGAATGTTTAAAAAAATAAATGGAAATCTGCTGTCAAAAACTGGAAATGTGCAGTGTTACACACGGAGTTTTGAGTACTGAGTACGGAGTATTGAAAGTTTCCTTTTTTAAGCCCCAAAACTTTTCTCTACTCATGTAATTCTATTAAAGGAGTAAATTGGGGTTCAAGGGTAATCATGGAAGACAATGTTATTGTTTAAAGTATAATTGCATCCCTTAATTGGTATGCAAATATTTTGCACACATATCCCAATAAAAATATCACATTTTTAAATAAGTTTTAACAAAATTGTTTACCATTGCAGTAAATTAGATCACAATCGATATGTATATCTTTTACACACAAATCCCAATAAAAGATATCATATTTTTGAATAAGCTTTTAACAATATTGTTTACACTCCTTGAATCTTAATTGCTAATTGGTATCCTTATATCTCTATAAATACTACACTTGGATTTGAGAAGTAATATCATCACTCTTTTGAATCTCAAAATCTTTTTACATCTCTTTCTAGTTTAATACTCTTTGAATTATGTCGAACCTCTCACGTTCAATCTGAACTGCCTCATACTCAAATAGTCAAATGAGGAAGATAAACTACTTTGTAGTATATATATGGATACTGCCCAAGATCCGGATAAGAGCACAAATCGTTCTACAGAATAATTGTGGGAACACATTGCAAATTAATATACGCAAATACTATCGGCGGCACATATTGATAGTCATCCACCTTGGAAATCTCTACAAATTCACTGGTCAAATATATCGACAACACTTAGCAAATTAAGAGGATGTGTTTGACAAATTGTAAACATGAATTCAAGTGGTGCATTCGAACAATATATTGTGAGTATCTTGTAAATTTGTGTTATTTAGTTGCCGATATCTTTTTTTTTTGTTATAATTTTGTTTTTTAATTTGAATTATATTTTGTTTATAATAGCTAGATAAAGTAAATGAGTTACTAATGCAAGATTCCAAATATTAAAAAAGGGATTTAAATTTGATCATGTATGACATGCATATTATTAAAGACATGTGCAAAAATTTTATGCTATTGGGAGATTGCTAATTGTTGGAGGTCGAAAGAGAACTACAAAAGGATCGTAGTCACAATATGCCAGAGCTAACAAGTCATTAGGCTCATGCTCATTTTTTGTTGATTTGGATGATGATTTAAAAACTGATGATCACTATAATGAAATAAATAATGTACGTGAACATCTTACTAGAAGGAAGAAGGGAAAAAATGAAGAAACAACTCAACTATGAACACAATCAATTATTTCGGCTTATTTCTAATGAAGTACCACATATATTTCAAAAAAAAAATGAACACAATCAATTTATTGTCGCCATGAGACAAGAAAATGAACACTTCAAAAGAATGTTCAAACAAAATCAAGATATACTTCAAAACCAATATGAGCTCTACTAGTTGTTTAAAACTTAAATTATTGCAACAAAGATTGCGTTGACGGAAGAAAAAATAGCATTGGCAAAAGAAAGAGAAGAGAACAAAATCTTAAAAATGTATTTAAGTTTTATATCAGATCTAGTTGTGTGTGAGTCTATTAGACGCCAACAACTAAGAATTGTTGCAAAGAGAGCACATGGAGGAGGAGTTGAATCAAGCCATCAATTTGACTAGTATTTTGATAATTAGGGAGGAAATGCGGATGGACTTGAAGATTATTAATTTTATTTTCATGAAGTTATATTTTATTTTTCGAAATTGTGTTGTATTTTCCTATATAAATATTATGTCGTATGTATTTTAATTTAATTTTTATTATTATGTTGTAGTTATGTTTGATGTATTTTAATTTTTAATTAATATATATTCAATATTAGTCTTGTTTCAATCGTCTTAATGAAATCTTTAAAATAATATAATTTATTGTTAATAAAACAAATTATAAATTTAAATATTTAACAAAATAAAAATACATAAAAAACAAATAAATGATAGATTTGGAATTGAATAAATAAGCAAGGAAAAAAGAGTAATTTGCACCATCCTCTCAAATTTGGCGGAGGTGAACAGTGCCACGACATATATAGTGCAGCATTGTTCACCTCTACCAAATTTTTTGGCCTTTGTCGTTGGCTTAGGGTACAATGAATTGGCGTAATGGTGCAATGGCATTTGAATATGACGTTTAGACATTCCCTTGGAGATGCTCTCATGCAAGATAATGTTAAGTTTTTAAGTATAATGATAAGAAAGTAAAATTTTAGTTAAAATACGGTGTTGTCCAAATTTTAGTTACAATGAATTAAAAGTGTTACATTTTTTTATCAACGGTAAAAATAACAAAACTTAGTCAACTGTACTATTTGTTAAACTTAGTCAAATACCTTGTGCTTCGTTGGCACCTTTGTGGCTCTCCTTCAGGGAATGTCACATGATCGAACTCTGGTAGTGGGGTATGTTGACTCTTTGGGCTACAACAAATCGAGAAAGTATATTAAACAGATACTCCCTCTGTCTCATGTTGTCGGTCCTATTTACTATTAATTGGTTAAATCAACTCTTTCTTCAGTACTTATTTTCTTTAGTATTTTTAAATTTAATTTTTTGTGTTTAATAGTACATTTAACGTAGTTTCTGTTTTTTTTTTTTTTTTAAAAAAAAACGTAGTTTCTAAATATATAAATTTTATATACTAATACTAAACTTTTTTTTTTTTGAATGCTAATGGCTCTATTGCAATCCGGGTACCATTAGACCACATAATCTTGGCAATACTAAACTTAATATTATGAAAAATTGAATTTAAAATAACTTCAGTCAAGCCTCGTTAACCGAACCAGACCAACAAAATGGGACGGAGGGCGTACTATATTGTAATCATGGTTGCAGTAGGTGCTAGGCGCTAGTCGGGCGCCTGGGCAGCCTAGCGCCTAGGCGGGCGCTAAAAAAATAGTGGCAGACTTTCAGTTTGATAATTTTAATTAATGAGGATATTTTCAACATTCAATCAAATAAAACATCAAAATAAATGAAATAATGATAATTCATAAGTCATAACATCAAAACAATATTAGAAAATAAAAATACTCAAATATGAAATACTCGAATACTTCAATCATCCAAAGATTCAAAGTATCAAACTAGTCTACGGATGGCTGGATCACTCGACCGACTTTGACCGATTTTTGGACACCTAATAGTGAAAGAGGAACAGCCTAGGGGTGTCTAGCGCCTAGGCACCGCCTACGCCGATTTTCACAACAGTAATTGTATTAGAGTCGATAGTACTAAAAAAAAAAAAAACTGTTATTATTCTTTATTAACAAAAAGCTGTTACTTTTCTTTTTTTTTTTTGAAAACCAAAGGAACCATACTTCATTAAATTAAATGTTCAATACATTGAGGAATAGAATGAAAATAACTAAGGGGACCAGAGTAAGAACGAGCAGCCCTAGCCAAAGCATGAGCAACTGTGTTTACTGATCTAGAAATGAACTGAAGAGACATTGATTCAAAGTCTCGTTGAATCTCCCGGCACTCTTTGAGAATACAACCTGTATATGTATAGTCCGGCAAAGAACCCTTGAACAGATTGCAGACCGTCTGACAATCAGAAAACATCTTCACCTTCATAAAATTCAACTCCTTAGCCCACGACAAAGCTTCCTTGACTGCTATTGCTTCCGCCATATGAGCTTCATCTAAACAATTTAAAGGACCATGGCGAGCTGCAACGTACGCACCACTTGCATCTTTAATAAAAATGCCAAAGCTAACTTCATGGGTATCTGGATACACAGCAGCATCCACAAACATTTGCATAGTATTAATTGATAAGCCCTGTGCAGTTGACTGCGAAGCTTGCCGTCCATCACCACCACTAGCTTGTGTCTCCACCATTTGTAGCCATTCATGCATGAGACGAGTGACTTCCATCCTCACTTGCGCTGGCTGCCATGCTTTATGACTCCATACAATAGCATTTCGTCCACGCCAAATACTCCACCAAATTGCAATGCATTTCAGTGAAATAGACGTGTCAGTACAAGACAAATTTCCTACAAACCAGGCTGCAAAGTCATCATCCTGATCCGGTAAGGTTGTGTTCATTAAGTCCTGCCAAATTGATATAGTCTCTGAACAATCACACAGAAGATGTCGCAAGGTTTCTGGGAACTGCCTACATAACGGACACAACACATCAATCTCCACACCTCTACTCTGCAAGGCAGCCAAAGTAGGGATAACTCCCTGTAAACATCGCCACAAAAAATTCTGCACGCAAGGAGGAACTTTAGTACGCCAAACCTGTCTCCGACATGGATGATTGGCATCACCAGAATCATTCTGAGTAGCTAGTAGCCTATAGCCTAGCTTTACAGCATACATACCCCTCAAGTCTCCATGCCAGTACCACATGTCTTCAAACTGGGTAGCAAGTGGAATTTTGAGAATAAGCTCGGCGTCTCTTGGTTCAAAAGACTTCATGCACAAGCTGGGAATTCCATTCGTTCGTATCAGGATCAATTAAAGCACTGACCTTCATTTCTTTATTACTTAATCAATTAATTTATAAATAATCAATAAAAGAAAATTACTATTTTTTTTGTTTGCAAACTGTACTGTCATACTGTCATACTAGTATTATCCTACGAGATTGGACTAATCTAGCTAAGTCTTGTATTCAACCCCTCTCCAGATGGTGTAATTATTACATACATATGGATTCAAACTCTCATTCTTAAAAATAAATAAATCTTGCATTTATTTTAATCGTCGAAAACAACACCTTTAAAAAAAAAAAATTTGAGTTTGAAAATAATAAAAGTTTATATTATGTCAATGCAATGCATTATGCATATGAAAATTTCTTTGATTTTTTATATATTAAATATAATATTGACTAACGTTTTACGGCTATTAAAAGTTGCTAGAAGAAATTTTTAAGTGAAACTTTTTATCCACTTGATCAATATTCTAAA